TAGGGAAGCACAACCCCATCCAGAATTAAAGATGATTTTTTTCTGGAACTAGATGGCTTACAACTCAAAGCCACTGCATCTTTCTAGGACTGAGCCTTAACTTGTTCCTCCCAATCCAGACCCGAACTGCCTCTAGGCACTTAGAGAGCATTTTAACACCAGCACCACCTTGGTGTAGGTTGTGATATAAAGTTGTGTAGTATCAGTGTACTGATTATATCTGACCCTGTGTGGATAGATGATATCATCCAATGTCTTCATGCCCATGTTAAAACGGGGGGGGGGGCATTACGTTCTGCAGCACCCCACAACTGAGAAGCCTAGAACTGTATCCCTGCCCCCTTATTGCTACCAACTAGAATGATTCCTTTACAAATGAGAACCATTGAAGCACAATGTCCTCCACCTCTAACTCTTGCAGGCAGTTCAGAAGAATGCCTTGCAATATGGTATCAACAGCCACTGAGAGACCAAACAATACCAGGAAGGTCCCAGTCTCCCTATTCCAGTCGCTCTATAGGTAATCTACAATGACAACTATTATTGTCTCCCTGGCATGAAACCTGAGTGATATGAGTCCATATATAATAACTATTTCTTCTAGAGGCCTATAAGCTGCACCCTTACTACTTTCTCAACAACCTTCCCCAAAGGTTAGACACTAGTCTGTTATTTTCTGACATATCTGGGTCAAGTGATGGCTTCTTGAGTTGGAGACAAGCTACCACTTATTTTAATGAGACTTAACACCAGCCCCTCCCTCAGATGTATTTACCATCACTCTACCCCAGCCCTCTGACAATTCCTAGAATGTTTTCACTGAATAGGGATCCAGACTACATGTGGCAGTCAAGGCTATAGATAATCTATCCAATTACCTAGGACTCACATGGTCTAACTCATCTCAGATAACTTAGAAAAATGAAGCTTCAGTCAAATCTTCCATACTTGTCCAGCTGGTATCTAACTCTGAGTGGATCTGAGCACTTTTGTCTTCCACATGCTTAGCAAATTCCATATAATGGTTCATCAAATGATCTTCCTGTCCATCCTTCTGTAGTAGAATCTGACTCAGAAAAGGCCTGCTGGATGGTACTCTGTGGATGCAATAACAGCAGAGAAATCACCACTCTTGCTGGCATTGTTTAGGCCCTGAATAAGCTCTTACCATGTCCAGTTGAATTTGCTCCGCATTTTATCTCATTCTATGCATCTTTTAATTCACTTCATTCAGTACAATTCTAAGGGTGTCATTACCCTTGTTTTCCAGCAGACAACTAAGGCCTTAGCAGAACTATGCTCACCATAGCATAGCTATGCCCACCGTAGCCTTGGAAAAACTCCCCAAGCACCCTCTGGAACCTAAGCAGTTCCATTAGACACCTTGACTGGACCAATCAAATAGGTCTATCCTCCTTGCAGAAATTAGTGGCAGAAGTCAAATCCAAAGTGATAAGAATGTGATCTAGCATGACAACAGATGGTTGTTAAAAACTCCCACCCTTAGATCAAGTTGCATCTGTCCCAAGATTAAACAACAACAACAAATAAATCCATATTTAATGTATGGCATTCACTATTGGACTGTGGGTGACCTGGGGCAGCACCAATTGTCATGATAAACCTACCCCCCCACCCATCCAGTGATGGCAGGTTAATTTCCCAGTGAAAGCAGGTGAGTCAACCAGCATAATCAACCTAGGGAAAACAACTACCAGCCTCACAACGAAGTCAACAGTTCATGTATAGAGGGCAGCAGTACAACAGAAGCAGTCCCAACTTGCCCCACGCTTAACTCTGGGTATCTGTGGTGCAGATGCCAAAGACTCCTGAATGATAATTGCCATCCCATTTCCCTGTCTAGATCCACAGCTAATGCCAAAACTGAACCAAGTTGGTCGCATTTCTGAGACAGGAAGAATATAATTCTAACAAATAAATGAATACAATTCATTAAAAATCTACCCCACCCCATTTATAATACTATTAACTCTCCCATACAGCTGTTCTTCAAACAGTCAGAGAAGCGTAGAATGTATTTTCCCATTCCCTAGGAGGTTTAAACAAGAACTAGGTGTGGAAGCTACAGCTACCCTTTATCTTTCTAAATCTCTCCAGGAGCAATTAAGAAGTCTTCTAGTACACAAGGTTTTCTGTCAGTTACAAAAACTTTAAACACACTTAGAAACACTCTTAAAAGTCCCTCCCATTCTCTTACCTTCTCTTTATTGCAGGACAATTGATTGACATTCCTGTCTTTTCTGGTTACCAATGCAAATCATCTACAAGAATAAGCCATCTTAATAGTTGGCTGTTTATATATTGGCCATATTGCTACAGAACTGTTCATTAATCTTGACTTCCAGGGGAACGTATGGCAAATTGAAAACTGTGGAGCCAATGACTGCAGCAAAGACCAAGGAACTGGTGAACAGACCTGTTCTTTAGAACCCTTCCAAATAAGGAAAGGGCAGGAGATCACCCACACGTATTCCCAATGACTGCTCCTCATGAGGAGACTGCAGGACAGCGGTTTTCCATGGGTTTGAGTGCCAGGAGACAACAGGATTAGCCATCTTGCTGGGAACCATGACAGAGACTTTTAAAGGACAAGTTTGCAAACCTCACTTTATAATCACCTTTGAAAATTGCTCATTAACTACTTCTAAGCTATTCGAGACCTTCAGACCAACAAGTCTGAAAATGCCCAGTGTGTCTGCCTTGAATCCTGAATGAAATAAAATTTTAATCATAAGCTTAAGAATTTAAAGAATTTGAAATAAATAGCAAAAAGCTAAATAAAATTTTGATCTTAGAAAGTTATAAACAGACTAACAATCCAGATAAAATTGGAATATTAAAACTTTTACAATAAGATTTTGAATTAATTATAAAGAACAAACAACTTCTAGTGGGAAATAGATTCTGTTTTGGTTTTTATAAGACAAAACAAAGATAAGCAATTTCATGATTTCAAAAACTGGACACTAGAGAGGACTAAAGTTTTTAGGTAGAGGAAAGATGTACAAACCTGCAAAATGTTGCAAAATGTTCTAACAATGAAAATACTGAAGGAGACTTCTGAAGAATGGAATGAGAAAATAGTAGCCATAATATCAACAATGTCAGTAATGATGTCTGCTTTTATGGATAGACTATGTCCAAAAGATGTTATTGAAGAAGTGACAGAAACTACAAAAGAAATTAGCTGAGGCTTTACATTTAAAAGGGAAATACAAATGACAAATCAAGAGAGTGACTTGGATAATTGTATTTCCTACTGATTTACAAAAGAGGCTTGTTAAAGTCTTGAATAACTCTGTGTGATGGGACAAAAGAAGAAATGAAGAGAAATTAAATCCTGCAACAATATCTGAATAAACCAAAGATTAAATGTGTTAGAAGTAAAAGGAAAAAAAATATAAAATTGGTTTATCTGATCAAGGTTAAAACAAGACATGTTGTTACCTCTGGCAACCCTTTACAGACTTTCTGCTGACACCAGGACTGAAAAGATGTTTTATGGATTTGTTTACAGATAAGAGATGGTATATGAGATGAAAAGATAAATGTTTGTAATCCTAGAGGGTATGAAGAGTCACTAAATTTGTTTATACTTGTTGTGGTAAAGATTGAAAGTAACTTTCTTCCTTCTCTTTTTTCCTTACACCTTTTACTCCTTTCTATTCCTTTTTTTTTTAGTTTGTATTAGATTTTACTATTATAATCAATATATATAGTTGCAAAATGGTTGAAGATACTTTACAGATGTGAAGATAATTAAAAAAAAAACATGTTAAACAAGTTAGTGGCTTCAAATCTCAATGCAGCCATAAATTTTATCTAAAGTCATTGTAAAATGCCCCAAATTCTTGGGATTGGGACAGATTATTTGTAGCAGCAAATAAATAAATAAATAGTCTCCAGCAAATGCTCTACAGTGGCATAGAAATAGTACAACACTTAGTCATCACATAAATAATGCATGGATTACTGTGGCATGCATGTGTTTAGAAAAAAATAAAATAAAGTAACAGCTATATAAATGGTTATAGCTATCAAACAAGTCAAAAGTGGAAAACTGCTATTTGGGACTCCAATGACAGAGGGAAATGACATAAAGTTTACTTTACTTAAGAAAAAGAAATGTGATCAAACTGAAATCTTAAAACCTAATTCGAAAGTTTATAACAATATGCACAATTCCTAGATACATGAATAAAAATCATAGAGCTTTACAAATATAAAAAATAAATATATTTCTGTCTGTACAAACCGTGATGTACACTTAATTATTCCAGTTAACAGAGGAAAATGCAAAGATATGGCCTAATCTAGATATTCCTTACCCTGTGCACAGACTGTGGATACACCAGTAGTTCAGTGTGCATATACTTTACCAAATGTAGCAGTAACACAGACTCTGTTTGTCAAATAATAATACACATATAACACAACAACACTTGCATGTTGGCACTGCATGTGCAAATGAACTACAGAGCGAGTATAAACATTAAACATGTCATTATTGAATAAGCATGCCATTATTTAACATATATTATCAATGCAAGCTTACTAGAATGAATGACAAAATATTTGCTTTACGCTATTCAGTAGATGTAAGCTTTGCCCAGTTTGCACTAGTTTGGCAAAATTCTGGACTTACTAAAAATATTTCAAAATTGTTTTACTGTAATATCTATATAACATGCCACTGTTTGTTATGATGGGAAAGGTGGCAATGTTTTAAAAACTTTTTTTTTTTCTGAATGCATATACCTTCTTAAATTATACTTGCAAATCAAGAGTCTTTGATTTTACTGATTTATATTTATTCACCTCATGAGATACATCATCTGCTTTTATGCAAAGGAAATGATTATATACAAACATTAGGTATATAACTATGTCTCAATATATATTTACATCAAACCGATAATTCTAATGTTTAATAATATAATAATATTTAAATAGTTGACAGAAAATGGGAAAGAAAAGACTTACTTGCTACTTCCAGTGATGCATTGTGACTCACAGCTTCACCAAGGTAATTCCTTGCTACACAGACATAAACTCCTTCATCAGGCCTACTTTTGCGGCCATGAACTATACGTAAGAAAAATAAAGATCCACTCGGTAGCAACATCCGATGAGAACGAGCATCATCTTTATCAGTTTCAACCCTTTCTCCTCCTTTGTACCATTCAATAGTTGGCACTGGTCTGCCTTCAGCCTTGCAGTTCAGTGTTGCTGGTTCCCCTTTAGAAACAATTAAATCCGAAGGATGTTCAATAATTCGAGGTGGGAAATCATCTTGACGAAGACGTGAACCTAAAAATACAAATTATATTTTTAATTTCTACTAGTTTTAAAATGTTCAAGCTTGGATTTTAAAAAAAAATGGAACCACAAAGAGATACTTTATAATTATCCTTAATGATCTTAAATACTCAATAATAGTATCTAACAGGAATTGGCAAATTTTTATTACTTAGGGACTCTACTGAATATTCAGAATCTGAGGGACATAGCAGGTGGTAAAATGATTCATGATACCAAAAAAAAAAAAAAAAAGTCAATGGAGTTCAGAGTCAAGGCAATGCCTTCAATATTTTAGGGATGATGTGTTGTGAACCCTATTGTCAGCTGTAGTCTGAGTCATGTTGCAATCTTAGCTCTATTGTGAAATATTTTATGTAGATGGGAAAAAATAAAATGCAAGGTAAGTGTTCCTTATCAATTTCTTAATTGATGTATCTTTATCTTCTAAAAAAAAAGAGAAGATGATGCAGTATGTTTCTATATAGACTTAATAAGGATTAAATTTTTATATTGATATCATATTGCTCTTTTTTTCCCTTCTTTTCCTGTTTATTATTCTCCTCTCATGTTTAGTTTATTTTAATCACTGTAATGTATGTAGTTTCTTACTGTATTATCTCTCACGTATCATTTATTTATTTGGCTTGTTTGTTATACTTCACTAATAAAAATTAGGGAGGAAATGTTGCAATCTTAGTCCTATTGTGTTTGTCAAGCAATTGTATCAGAAATCTGTCAGTCTGGGATTCTTGTTTCAATCTGTATAGATTAACAACAATCCAATTTATACAAAATGTAAGTACTGTATGATGTCAGACATGCAATAAGTTATACCAGGAGTAGGCAACATAGTGCTCTCCATCCAGATTGAAATTACATTGCCGTCAGTATGAATGTGGTGGTGTTCACACATTACACTAACAGATGATCTTTTCAATAAACATCAGTTGGGTGTATTTCAATACCACACTGACACATAAATCATGATTTACAAAGTAAAATGGATCGTAAATATGCTAAATCAAAACCAGACTGTATTATAGCTTAGCATGATTCATGAACTTAGGTGGCACATCCAACAGAACATGATGAAAAGTGAAGTCTAAAACATCCAGATGATATCAGATGCCTATCCTAGTCTATAGCATTGTATTACATAATTGTAGATACAGTATATTTGGTGGACAAAACACTCAAATCAAATCTTTATTACAGTCATAGACCAGCATAGGACAACACACTAAAATGTCTTGATATGAATGTCCCTAATTACACGGTATTAAAAAACTCAGTTTAATTTTTTTCACAGCTGAATCAGCCTTTCTGCATCTCAGCTGAAATAAGATCTTAACACTTCCCCTATTCATATGTTAATGAAGGCTGCAGCTAGGGACCAGTTTCTTTATTCATCTGATTAACCTGAGCTGATCTGAATGTGCAAAGCAAAGCAAAAGAAAAAGCAGGAGGACTACTTTGCTGACCCATAGAGCTATATGCTCCTGGCCAACTAGCAACCACAAAAACATTTTGATAATGCTTACTAGCAAACATTGAATCCTTTTAATGTGCCCACACTACAACTATTTTCCAAAGTTCCTGCTACTACTAGGAAACAGTGAAGTGAGAGTGAACGACTCCAATTTGGAAACTGAACCCTTAACATTTTAAATCAGTTGGAACAATGCTGCTCACCATGGATAAACAAAATGGTGATATACAATCCTTCCAAGACACTGCAGCAGTCACTCCCCAAAATCCCCACTAACCCACTACACTGATCCCCAAGGCCAGGGCAGCATTAGAATATACACACAAGTCCCTAAACTTACTATTATACTATATACAGTATCAATATAATTCACTAATTATACCATAGTTGGGTTTTTATCATTACCTTTTTTATAAATGGTAATGATAACTACTGTGCTCCAGTAATTTGGTAATTGGGTCTTTTGTTAATAAAAGTAAGTATTAATGCCAGAATTGGTCCTAACCAATAAATATTGGATTCCTGATGGAATAAGACTTTCATCCATGGCTTTGCTTCTTTTTTCATTTGGTTATATAATTTCTCAATTTCTACAGCCAAGAGGGAGGTTGAATAGGTACAGTGTCAACCACTAGATCAAATTTGCCAATCCAGGTAGAACTAGTATAGGGTTTGGAACCGACTTTTGCACAGAAATACAACAGGATATATTTGCGTGCAAATAGGATATATTTGCACGCTAGAATTTGACTGTACACCTTATCTAAAGGAATAATAGCTGACTACATATATTCTGTGTGGCTGCTTTTGTTTTATTCTTGAAAAAGGTTTATACTTTCTTTTTATAGGGAGAGGGATTAGCTATAAAGGAGGGATTAGCTTTATATATCCTAAACATTTCCATCATACTCCTCATCAAACCAATTCTTAGAGCTATGTTTTTTGAAATGTTCTGGCCTAAAGGTAATATACTGTAGTTAAATATGGCCTGATTAGGTAGATTCACATTGTCTTGAAAACTGTCCTCAACAAATCTTCACAAATTAAAGAAACATTTCAATGTAGTGTCACACATTTTGTTCTTGGCACTCTTCTGTATTTTAGAGAATCTGCATATTTAAATGACATTGCATTATATTATTAGTCATATTCTTTTTTTCTTCCAAAGATCAGAGACTTTATTACATAGCCATTAGTGAGTCAGTCTGTTAGTATATCTGTCCAGTATGGAGTGCTCCAAAAATATTTTTTGGAGATAAAGAATCCACATTACATTGTACTCAATGGTAGGTTATCAAATTAAAATATTATTCTATTATGCTTTCAAGAATTTTAATATTATTAGCTATCACTTTTATTTTAATTAAGTTTAAAATAAATCAGTTTAAATATATTGATATTATTAGGGTCATGAAGCATTTATTTATGTATTTATTTGAATTTATTAGCCACCCAACTCCAATGAAGTTGTATAAAAATATTTTAATAAATAAATATGGATAACAAAATAATTGCAATGTTATATTCAGTAAAGTAGCATGCAATTGTACAAATGCTAATCTGAAAAGAAGATCTACTTGAGACTTAGTCCTGAATAGATATATGCAGGATTATGCTGACAGAAATAATGCAAATTCATAAGTACTATAAACATTCAGTAACTAACTGTAGTGATGAATATAACATAAAAGAAACAAAGTCTGGTATGAATTAAAGGATTTTTCCATGAAAGAACAGGATAGAAGTACAATTTACTAATTCCTTTCCAGAAGCTTCTTCAAAAACCTGTCATGTAGATACTGCTGAGTTTTTCTGCTTGACTTCTATTCAAACATGCAGTGAAGGCGGGTTTTTGTGTGTGGTTTTATTTTATTTTATTTTATTTTATTTTATTTTTTTAATAGCTACTATATAATAGTTACACCCATACAGTGGTTTAAAGAGCTCTGGCTTATGTGAGTTATTAGCTCCTGTGACAGAAAGCAGAAAAGCAAAATTTTAGCAGTAATTTTGCAGACACATTTATACTTTTAGAAAACAAAATATTTCAAACAGCCTTTTAAAGGATTAGTAACAAATCCCTAAAGGAATGCGGCCAACCTCAGTCATATTGAAACTTTAAAGTTAACATTCCCAACATTCAAGAAGCATTAGTAAACTCCAGGTTAATGAGACACTAAAGAATAAAAGGTGTGACCCTTTTGCAGGTAAATCAACATGATTATTCCCTAATGGAGTCTGTAATCTAAATGAGCAGTCTAACAAAAATACTTTTAAACTTTCATTATTACCAAGGAACTTGGAATGTAAACTGCACACATACACATTACCTTTCACTTACCTATTACTTCCCCAATAACATTTAACTGAAATAATACAGGAATTTAATTTTAGCATAATTTTGTTATTATTTCATTTTTTAAAAAAAGGAAAATCTATTTGGGAAGAGACTTAATGACTACCAAGCCCAACATCATCTTCCCCAGTACCAACTAAAACAGTATGGTAGCCTACAAGCAGAAAATGTGTGAAACAGCAGCTACTTACATGATGTCTAGTCCATAATATTGAGAGATATATTATCTCTGATATTGAATAAGCTTTGTATTTATAACCTTACCATGCTGACAGCTATTATAGTTTATGTATTGAGAGAAATACATTATTTCTGTCGTTTCATTCAATGACTCTGGAATCAAAGAAAAAAATATGGTGTATCTCTGGCTCTCTGTATTAGTTCATAGCTTGGTGACCATGTCCATTATAGAGTTAAAATGTTTAACTATTACAACATCTCAGCTATACTGCTGCTGGTCTTCCCTGAACCTCACTAATATCAAGAATATGAAAGCCACATAAGGTCACAAGCAAACAGACTGATTATTAAATCAATCTATCACAAAAACAAGAAACAGGTTGCAACTGTTGGTCTTACCCAGAAGAGATTGATTTCCAGCCTGTTATATCATGTGGGTGGGAAAAAAATGGTACAAGAATTTGAAACTTGACTTCTATAAATAGATTCAGAGGAATGGCTAGAATTCTATCGTAATGACTTCTTTAGCTTTCCTACAATAAACCAACTTATCTGGACTTTTATATCTTTGGAAATCTATTCTTGAAATATCCTCCCTAACCAACCAAATGAAGACTGATAAAGAAGCTGAATTAAGCTGTGTCTTTCTTTGAACCCTTTTTGCCCCTGAAGCAGGCAAAAGCTTTAGCTTTTGGAATAAGACTATTTTCTTGTTATCTATGTTCCAGGAGAGCAGTTCCTGGTGCTAAAATCAAAAGCATAGTGGAACAAGGCAAGAGTTGTTTTTAACCATTTTAATTCTAAGTCAATGAAAGAATAATACATATGGAAGCAAAAATACTATATAAATTGATTAAAATGAAAGTGGAATGAAGTGAAAACTCAATGATCAGGATTACATTACAAAAAATGTACTCTCAAGGAGGAAATAAGGAAAACAAAATTTGGAGAATATGTTTGAAAGCACAAGGAGTAAATAAAAGC